CTTTAAGTAATGTTTTGCCTTCAGTTTTTTCTTGAGTTGAGTTATTCTTCAAAGGTTTGTTCTTATTTCTATCACAATTTGTAGCCATTTCTTTGATCCTATTTACATTTTTTGAATTTTTAAGATATTTAAAATTAATAATCTAGTGAATATTTTTACTCTTTTAATCAAATGTACAAGTCTAAAATTTCACCTATTACTATTTCTAGTATTTAAGAATATTATACTTAATTTAAAATTAAGTATTTTAAGGTTATATTGAAAGAAAAATATTAAGGATACTTCTAGAGTAAAAATTAATTAATACTTATACATTTTTTTTTCAGTTTCGTTCTTCTTTTCTAAAGACAAACTCCTAAAAAAGAAAATATTTCGAAGTTTAACTTTTCTAAATTGAAAAATTATAGTATATACATTATGATTATGTAAACATCATATAATATTCATTGATTAGTCAATTTTTTGAATTTTAATACGTTAAATTTACATTAACTTTTTACGTTTTGTCTATAAAATTATATGTGTAAAATAATTTACTTTTTTGTTTGTTTGCCTTTCTTCATTTTGTTTATTGAAGTATTCATTCTTCAAGATTTACAAATTGGTTTATCTTAAGCTAAAAAAAAATGATTACGCTGTAACGCTGTTATTTTTTTCGTCTCCTCTAATTTAATTACATATCTATGTAATAAATCGAATTAGTCTCCGGAGGGTTTATTCTCCAAGGCATAAGTTTAAAAAGTACTTAAATACCAGTATTTATAATATATAATATAGATCACACAACAAGTGACTGTGTGTACATATTTATTGTAAAATCGGTAAAAAAATAATGCAAATAAATAATATATCTAGATGTAACGTAAAAGTGTATCGCATATTAGTGGTTAGATGACAAAAAAAAAACATTGTTGACGCATCAGTCTTACAATACGATAAACCGGTACAAAACGATGTACCAAAATTATTCTGGATGGATTTACAATATTTTGGGAGAGTTTATGTATTCTACTATAACCGTGTCCATATTGTATCTAGTAAAAAACGTTAGCCGAATAAATCCGTGGTGAAACCCGGTATCATTAGACCATATATGCACTGGACGGAGCAGTGAGACGAAATCGTGCATAGCGATTGTGTCCAATATCGCTCCTCCACGTGCGTGTGTTTAGTCGTTTACAATTGCCACGACGTAAAGGGCCCCCGCCCCTTTACGTTTAAGCCCTCCCCCCGGCTTTGAAATATCTCTACGACATACAGTAACGGATGGAGGCCCTGGAGGTCTAGGTCGATAATGTATTTCCGAACCCTAACTTAAATGCTCTAAACTAATGCTGAATCACTAGTGCCTGAATCCAGTTACTCTGTAGTGTGCGTCTTCACTACTTTCTCTAACTTATTTATTTAAAGCCCCAGCTCAGTTGTGGTTCGGAAATACGCGGACCGGCTTGAGTTTTACGAACTACCAAACGAACGACTCGTGTTACGAACAGCAAACAAAGCTCAAGCCCTGAACTTTAAGATTTTTGGAAGGCTTAGGCGGGTATGGTCCGCAGGATAAATGTACGTTGTCCAATGTTCGACCAATTGCGGAAACTCTATTGTGAATCAAGTCAGTACTCAGTCTCAGCAGTTAGATATCTGTTGAAAGGCGACGTACACCGTGTTCGACCACGAGTTGTTGTGCGTTTCGAACAATAATAAATTAATAAATTCATTTCTAATTTATTTGGAGAAGAATTGAAAGAAAGCGATTAGTTTTTAACGTATTTGACGCCAAAACAAAAAAAAAAAAAAAAAAGAAATCGATCGATTCCTTATTTTTAAGCCTCGAGAAGCTGAAGGGGATATTTCGAAGTTCTAATAAACAGACGTCCGTTAGAAAACGATATTAAATTTAATAATTTTTGTATTCTACGTGCGATACATCGGATAATTTATGATATTTCCGCACATTCTCGATGAAAAGTTCATATTATTCTTGCGATGAAAATGCAATCGCCGACATTTCAACGTGGGCTACGGTCGCGGCGAAAAAATCAGCTATCACGCGTAGGACACCGTATGACAGTATGATAGAGAGTTGGACGGCGACCGGTCGCGCATCGGACATCGTACGTTAACGACCGTTCAAACCCAAAAACCGGCCGTACACGAAGAGTTTAACTGTCAAATTCGAATCGACATTCCTATTCCGCCGATATGGTTGGCAGATTTTTACTGTCCTGGTACAAAACTTTTTGTGCACGTACACTGCCATTCCTGACGTGCCGAATCAACTCGCCCCCTTGGAGTGTACCGACTAGATATTTAGGTTTATGTTCAAAACTGTCAACTTTCCTGCGATCATGATCTGTCTGTTGATCTTTCGACATGTTAGAAATATTGTTTGCCATTCCTACAGAATGAACAGTACGTGTTGTTCAGTTGAACGCGATAATTTTTACAAATCTGTACGTAGTTAGCTCAGTGTGTTTGCGATGTGTTTACACCCGACTGGTTCTCGTAAAACGTAAAAAAATAATAACGAAGAATATTGCCATTGTTACATGTACAAATCAACAACACCACCAGGAACGCGGCTCGATTTCGGGTCCGTGATATTTTTACGCCATGTTTTGGTTTTGGTCGAGGACCGAAACGGACGGAAAAACGATGCTAACTAACAAACAAACTAATTAACCAAAGGCTTGCGAATTGTGAGAATGCTCTTGTAAATCGTTGCTAATCGGCTGCTAAATGTTGGCCTGAAAAAAATATTAATATTTTGATCGGGTGCGGTCGGGGACCCGGTTCGTGGACATTGTTGCGGCGGAACAGCACCGCTGCCTCGGCGCGCGCGCGCGTCTCAATCCGATTTCTTCGTCGTTCGCGCGGCGTCCAGAAACGATTGCCTAACCGCGCCCTCGGGTCGTGGGACGGCGTTGGCGTGCGACGCAGCTGTACTTACGCGACGTGAAGTCAAAATTGCGTCCACAACGGTTATCGAGAAGTTCGTAACAACAACGGGCACCGGAACTGAACAGACTCGAATCGAATGCGCTTTTCCGGTCGTGTTGTTATTTGATGTTCTCGGGAATCGTGCTGCACAGCTTGTTGACAAGTCGACAAATGCGTTATTCGAATATGTTGTTTCGGCTAGAAACATCCGTATCCACGGTACCCCGTTGCAGTGCGTCGTATTTGTTTCGAACGTTTTTCGGCCAGCACTGGGCGACGAGTCAATCTCGATAAACGATTTTTTCTTATGTTACGAATCGTAGCGATTGCAACTTCCGCTGTGACCGCCGATTCGACTCGTTCGTTGGACGATTAACTCTAGCGAAATATGCCCTTGCCAATTTTCGCGTGGTAGTTACAGAACACGCATTTCCGCTGAAATGTTTTATCGCCGAGTTATGCATAAAAAAAACTCTGCACGACCGTCACCGCTGTTGCGGACGACATACTCATTTCCAAAAAAAACTATCCACTTTATTTGAATGATACTAATTTAATTAAGATTGAAGTAATTAATGATTTGGGTATTCACTTTGAATCTGACGTATTTTTCAAAAATAGAAACAGAAACACACAAACTTTCAAAAATATAATTTGTCTTATAACTCTGTATTGTTCCCTAGTTAAGTTATCTCTAGAATTTGGGTCCACTTGGAGTGGCTATTTTGTTGTCGGTGATGTTGAACCTATCACTATTGGCTACGACGCGAACGTATATTATATGTGTTTATAATCTAAATCCCGTTGTTTTGTTCGATCGTGGATGGCGAAGCCATTTTTTTTTTTTTTTTAAAATTTTTGTTTTTATTTATTGTATTGTATTATAGGTGTAAATATATAATATATATTTGTTAAATTTTTTTTTTTTTTTTGTTCACAGAGTTTTTCCCATTTTATTCTTTATTGTGATTAATTTTATTTCCTCCATATAAGGCTATTTTTGTATACTATGTGATTTATCTTTTTTTTTCGGTTTATCCATTTTTTAAACTTTTGTAACTATAAATTACTATTTATTCTACAACCGAGGTTTTCTCATTTTTATAGAACTATTAATTAAAAATTAATTAATTTTTCTTAATAAAATTAAATAAAAATTAAAGTGTAAATATTTTATGTTTTAATTAATTCTATTATTCTATTTTTTCAGTATTGAATTCTGATTTTTTTTTTGTTTTGTTAAAACTTCTAGCTATTTTGTAAATATAATTATTATTTTATTATGATGTTCATTTAATGTTGTATTTTACTTAAGAAATATATATATTAATTTGTTAAAAATTTTATGCCAAACTCATTTCGTTCATCAGAATTGTTTCATAAAAATACGTTAATTATAATAATATGGTTTCTTTTTATAATGTTAGTTCATACATACTAATACGAAATAAAAATAATTTTGAATTTACTCAATTTACTTCCAAAAATCTACCTCGTAAGACGGCGTTGCGTATAGGCAATTTAAAATGCATTTATATATTTTTTATTTTGTAAATTAATTATAATAATAATATACTTGACAAGCTTAGTTTATATTCATATTTCAAAACCTTGTATTACATAGACCAAGAAATCACTAAAATTCTATTTCCGGTGATCAGGTGACAATTATTGTTCTGAAATATATCTACACGTATATTCAGTTACGGTTTGGCAGTGTATGGTATTGGTACACCATTAAAAAGTAATTTTGTTCCAAATTCCAATAGACCGTGATCGGCATTTTATTCTTTGGTATGCATAAAGACCTTTCTGTAAATGTGTTAATTAACTTATAATTTACTAATAAATTGTCCCAAAAATACAATTTAACAGTATTGATTACCTTGATTACCTACTAAATTAATCAGACCCCATGTTATTTGACAAAATTGAATAAGGATAATAAAACTGATATCAATGATTATTACATTTTATAGTTATAAACTAACTACAAATGTTGTTCATGTATATTGATTTTATGATGGTATTATTGACTAATGTAATAATATAACATCAAAATTATTTCAAAATTATCGCGATCTCGATGGTAATTGAATCACTCGAATAATAAAATAATTTTTAACAATACCAGATTAATATTACGATAAATGTTCAATTCATTATAAATAAAAATAAAAATAAATAAATTATCCTAGTGCGACATTTTTTTATAACAAGTGCAATTTTACATTAGAAATTGGAACAGTAACATTGATCATATCTATCTTCTGCTCAGACGTAGTATAACAGTAAACATATTTACTACGCAAAAGTAACAAAAATGATCATAAAAAAGTTGATACAAAATAATGTGTGTACTATATAATACTCGAAATACAATTTATAATATAAAAATGTATTTAACTGTTAAGACGTACATATATTTGATAACCGAACGGTCGACTGAAATATTATTTTGGTACAAAACTAAGCTATATTCTAAATTACAAACCATTCGCGATCAATTGCGACTGTTATTACGCGAAAAAAAACCGCTGTAGTCTTCGGTTATCATATTATATTGTTTTACATACAGTCACATCGACTGAGTGTTTACTATTTAAATGTAATAAAATATAAATTATTCGACGATATAGCTTTTTATTTCCAAATATAATATAGTTTGGAATATTCGAAATAATTTCTTATTTGTATGACGTCCTTATGTGAAATGGGGGGGGGGAGAGAGAAAGAGTATTTATGTTGCGTCCGTTGTTTAAACTTAGACCAAATCAGCCTGATTTTAGTCAGCCAACAAGTCCGTGATTTGCATGGTGGACAGAATGCTGTTGCCGTGCCGGAGCAACAGTTTTTCTGCGGAATCCTCGACGATCGGAGTCACCAGGTCGAGTACCATACGTTTGTTTCTCTTGAGAATTTTCGACAAGAATTGCGCTGAAAAAAAAAATAAAAGACGCGTGTTTTAATTATTATTATAATATAGAAATTTAAACGTTGTTTGAAAGAAATTATAATAATGTATTAATCGTGTTTTTGTCATCAAGTACTGAAAGCGAAATTAATGCGGCAGTATTACAAAATGTATACAATTACTTCAGGTCATACATTTAATACCGTGACAGTCGTTTTATAAGACAAGAAATTAAAATAACTCTAAATCCGTGCAGTTTGTTTTGTATAATGTATATAATGATATTTTTTAAATTACAATAACTATTTAATTCGAAATCTTAATTTTTTTTTTTTTTTATTGCATATGGCTTCGGCGAAAAATATTAGTTAATAAAAATTACAATTTCAATAACAATAAATGAATAAGAAATAATTAATAGATATAAATATAAACTAAATTTTAACTAAGTAACAGTAAAAAAGAAAAAAAAAATTGAAGAAAATTAAATAACATGCAATATCTTGAGGTGGAAATAAAGGTAGGCAGTAAAATGTTAATAAATCTTAATAAAATTCTATCTCAAACATATTAATTCTTTAGTTATTATTTTATTTTTCTCTTAATCCTAATGCTTCACAACAAATCGTTTTTTTTATTGCTATTGCCTAAATAAATTAATTTATTGAACATTCTGCTGTTACAAAACAACTATTATTATTTTTATTTATTTGTAATATATATATATATATATATATATATATATATATATTAAAATATTAGTTACCTATTTATTAGTAGCTCATTAAAAAAACATAATACGAGTATATCATTCAACTTTTTACTTACAGATATATTATTGACGTGTTCATTAAACAAACAACTATAGGGAATGCTGTACGTTGTTTAATAACTAAAATGTAAAATAACTAAAATCGATTTCATAGAAATTATCTATATTCTATTTGATTCATGCGATATTTTCTCACGTTATTATTAATTACATTTACCGCATGCATGTGGCAAAGTCACAAAGTGTTATAATACGTATCTGTAATAAGTCCGTTTAAAATATATCTGTATCACATAAAAACTACCAGTGAAGAAGAAACACAATGCCGACTTATACTATCATACTCGTTAATAATATTTGCACCATTCGACTTGATTATAGGTCAATTAACTTCAATAATATAATAATGTAAATTGACCCTGAACCCATAATAGTGCACAGCGCTAAAAGCAAATTTACTACATTACGCGTTAAACGAACGCTAAAGGATTAGTAAATAATGTGTTTTGTCTTTTATATGTAAGTTTTTTTTTTTTATAAGAAGTTCTGCGATACCTACGTAATAATCGTAATACATTTAACCTAAGTTCAATAACATATTTAACTTACAGTCTTTATTGACATATAATAAACGAAGTACAATAAACAAAGTTATATGCAGTACTCAAAGAATGTATAAATGATTAAATTAGTGCAAATATTTAATACACATTAAATAAATATAGCGTATACATGCAGACATGTTAAAATTTAATAATAATTATGTTGAAATATTTTCAAGGTTGTTAGAAATCGCATTAATTTATGTGTGTGATTTTATTGGAATGCAACGTTTTCACACGACGATTCATGAATCAAACATAATTTTTGGCGAGGCGTGAGAAAATTAAAAGTAACTAGAAATATTGAATACACTGCCGTCATTGTACATTGACTTTCGATGGGAAACTATTTTAACAATACACGTAACTTTGTTGAGCCAACGTGGACTAGAGCAGTGACCTGCTACATTATTAATTTTACGTTTATCGTTTTAATTAAAAACTAAGACCTTACCCAATGCCGGATTTTGTGATTTAATGATATTGATTTCTACATCTCCAAGGTTTAAGTTAATTTTGACGCTTTTCAACTTAATTTTATCGTCAGACGAATCTGTGTCTGAATGTAAACGAAGAACACTGTTACCTGTAAATGTAAATATTACATAACTAATCTTGTTATTAAATCTTATGTAATTGTTATACGTTACTATTTAATAGATAATGCACAAAAATAATGATTTACATTAATATGGTATATAATGTATCTGTTATTATTCCTGGTATACTATTAAATTCATACACTGTTAAAATATAAATTCACCTGAAAATATTCTGTTGATAATTGAAAATTTAAACTGTTTTCTTACATTCAAGCTAAAACACTTGCAGTCCATAAAGAAATCATAAAGCTGGGCGTTTAAACCAAATCTAGCTTAAACTATAACTTTAACTTAATACTATATGTTATTTAAACTGTAATATATAAATAATAATAAAAAAAACGTATTTGTTTTCAAACCTAAGGTATGTATAATAGTGTTGTAGTATTATATTTTAATAAATACTATATAAGTACAAATATACATTAATGAACGTGCTTGTATGGTAAAAATTAATTTAACGCTTAATCATCCATCACAATTTATATGAAAATAATTATACTCAATGTGGAAAAACGACAGTAAACACTTTACTTATTCTTATTGGTACATGGTACATTTTAAAAAGTAAATTATCGATTCAGAAGCATAAATAAAAAGTAATGTAAAGTAAACTTACTGATTTTTCCAGTGCATTGTCCTTCGTCGACTATGGGCTTCGGCAGAGCTTTCAAAGTGACGTTCAAGTCGAAGTCAGTGATAAACATGATTAGTGGAATTTCTAATTCTATATCCCATGTATGTTTAATTAAATTAACTCTGAAAAAAAAAATTTTTATTTTTCGTCGTAAAATAAACTAATAATTATCTCGATTCCGTTGATTTTTCAAACTCACTTAAATGCTTTAGCGGTTACTGATTTCGTACCATTCGCTATCAAGTTGAACAAATCTCCGGTCACGTTGATGTCTTGCATCGATCTGCCGATTGATATTCTAGGGATATGTACAGGATCTAATGGCGGTAAATTGAATTGCGGGTTACCTGTAGAGCATACAAGAAGAGTATGAATTCATAAGTTTCAGTCATGTTTTAATTGTACAATTTTCATATAATATCTATTGGATTAGCTACGTACCACGTATAAGCTGAGGCTTAGCCTGTTTGAGTATGTTCAACAAACATTCTTCCAGTTTCGGATCACTTCTCTTGCACGGTTTCAGTCCATCTGAAAATAATACATTCGTGAGCATGAATGTGTTGTGTAAAAATCGAAACATTATTTTCGAAACAATATCAACGGAAGTAATAATCACAACACTTACCGATAAATGGCTTAGCCGAAGTTTTGTCCAAAGACAAAGCGTATAGCGCGAACGCGATGATGAATCTTTTGGTGAACATTTTTCCGCGCGTAGTTCTGATCGTCGATTATTTCGAAAATGATATGTTGCGGCACAACACACGACTCTATATACGAATAAGCGCGCGTCTGTGTAATTATATTATAAATGTGCGAAAATGAGTATAGATTTTAATTCAATTATATTTCAATTTGCGAGCGTAACACGCAAGCACAACAGCTCTTTGTGTTCCCTGTCTGACCGCTCTGATTTCTCTACGTAGCACATTTAAAAACACTTAACCGTGATTCGAAATGCCTTCGTAGTACACACCGTACAGTATATTTGCTCCTCGTAATTTGGACGGACATTACGCGTATTAGCAGAAACAATCATTGCTGTTTAAACGAATCCCGGTATTGACGATACACATAAACTGACATATCGATATCGCTATCGGAATATCCGTTCAACGTTAATTATATGCAGAATGTCCTACGAACATATACGATGGTTGTTAATATGACCTAGCACAACGATGTTCACGTTTTAGCAGGACACGGTGTATAAAACGGGTGATGTTGCAACACATTACGGCGACGGCAATATAATTGTCTACAGGTAAACGTAACAAAGTTAATGTTTTCGTAGGTGTTAAAACGCCTAATGGCCGAATAATGCAATAACAGTTTTAAGGACAGGAAAAATGATTTTTTCGCGTGCAGTTAAATATGTATAAATTACTAAACGTGAAATAACGTATCGCACGGCTATCGAACATATCACAGTTTTCGCGTGCCCAACATAAAGTATATTATACACCTAAACACTAAAGTGCGTACGATTGATTCAACAACAATAAACGCGTCCGTCGTTATTGTATTCGTTTCCGTCATTAGACGCTATGTTTTACAATAGGATTTTATCTTAAACAATCTACACTGTGTTGTGCTTAACTTTTATTTTCTTTTTTTTTTTACTCAACGCGACGGGTCTAAAGGAAACTGTAATATTTGAAATTCACTCGCAAAGCCCATCGCACAGTATCAGGACGTCGCGTATATTGGTCGTATACCGAACACCATGGGCTACTGTAATGGGAGTTTTCAAACCGGAACTCTTACAGTGTTACAATAGATAAAATGTATGAGTTTTTTATGCACCACTAAATTTCCCCGTCATATATGCCACCGCTACAGATGCATGTTATGATACATAAGAATATTTTGTATGAAACGGTCTGCGAGTTTTTGACAATATTTCAACGTTAAATTATGGTGTATACAGCTTGAATATATTTTATAGCGGTAGACGAGACTTTTTATTGTATCCCTTATGATACGATACGCATTATTCGTCCGTCCGATTGAATTGTATTTTTTCACTGCGCGTTTATATAATAGGAATTTATCTTTCGTCTTTTTCTCATCCGTTTAATGGACGTGCGCCCTGTGTTCATTCGATATGCACATGGAAACCGTGGGGGAAGGAGCCCGTGAGGGAAGGTAAGCCACCCTTACTATCGTTATTGTACATTAAATATAATCGTTCATAAGAGGAATATTTATGAAAACTGACGTTCTAAAATCTTGTTTGTATAAATTCAGTTTTCGTTCGGAATTCAGGTTTTCCTAAAAAACCTGCAAAAAAAATGTATTATATTTTTCCAACTACTTTTACTATTTGGATTTCTGTTTTACATTTTTACCAAGGGGATAAAAATATCAGTTGCCCAATGTTTAAGAATGTAATATATCGTTACATAAAACTCTTATCACTGGTTTTCGTTTCGTTAAACATTTGAATAACCATTACAAATCAATTACGAAAATGACAACGAGAAGGTGTGACAAATTCAAAATATCCATTAGAGTCACCAAAAAAAAAAAAAACGAAAACACCTCAAATTCGTTACGAATGGAAGTATGACAATTTTTATTTATCATGCAGTCAATATACCGGGTACTCTGAGTTAATATAAATCTAAGAACTTATACGACACTATTCCCTGTTCTTATGTTTGTGTTTACACATAATGAAAAGCACAGTTACGATTTGAAGGTCCCCTTAAGTTTATGTACGCGACTTTATATTTATTTCGAGTTAATGTGTCGTTAAAAGTTTAATTACAAGATGGCGTTCTAGATTTTTACGGCAGTGAACCACGTTTTATGGGTCCACAGTGACAACGCCCCCGATGTAATAAAAACACAGTTTTTCTCTTCTTCGCAAATCCCTTTCTCCTCCCCCTCACTCTTGTCGAATGACTCTGTGATAACATCTCGTGAGTTGTGTGCGATTATAGTCTCTTTCTCTCCAAAAATCGAACATAACTCCGAACCTTCTAGCAGAATAGGGTCCAATACATATTACATTTCTGTTGTGCTACGTTCGATTTAACGACTGAATTTCAGCTGACTTTAACGAAAGAAAATATTTCAACCCGTCATCAAAGTGATTAGGATTTATTAAATCGAGTATGGGGTTTTTATTTTATTTGTATTTGTGAGTGGACGTATATAAATAAAATTATATTTCATTACATTTATTATAGTATACGAGTACAAACAAGCTGAAGTTCGTTCAAACAAACTAAATAATTCTGAAAACACAAAAAATTTAATATATTAACTATATATATAACTTAAAGTTATTTGTGTCAGCTGATTAAATAAGTACATATCAGATGGTATACAAACTGTTTAATTTGCTATGGTTTCCAGGAACAGAAGGTAACAAGAAACATTTAACAATACAGACATTATAATTTTGAAGACAAAATTTTTTTTATATTAAAAAATAAAATTCAAAAATGGTTAACATTTTAGTAGGATTTTACGTGACGGTGTTCGCCATAGCATATTATATACGGAATATAATTCTCTCCGGCATCGGGATAGGAGATGGTCATTCCGTGTGGTCAAGACTTTCGAATCAAGTACAAGTGGACCGAAAATCTCCGAAAAAAATGTTATCAAAAAACATGATTATAGCCTTGGCACAACGAAAAATTTATCGAGTTCAAAACTACATAGACGGCCCGAAAACCAAAGTCCACAAAAATAACAAGATGGAACAATGGGCCAACAAAATGATCTCCAACTCATGTAAAAAACTGGATAAATACGAGCCAAACGCATTTGCGTTGGGAAAGATTGTGGAAAAAATTTGTAATCACATCGATAAAACTGTTATTGAATCTAAGGTAAGCGAAGTGATTTCTATTCGATTTAGAAACGGGTATGTACCAATTGCGCTGTTCAGATTTGTCTACCTTCAGATATGAAAATATTGTTAATAAAATTGATTTATTATTCTAAAATAATTTAAATGTAAATTATAATATAACTTTCAAATTTCATTTTCGTTCGTCGTACACCGTGGCGTTATGTGCGTTCACTCTCATTCCAAAGTGTTTTTTTCTTTTCTGTCATCTGAAAAGTGTCCGTTAATCTTGAAATTAATACCAATCCATTGGTCAATATCAATATCAATATCAATATCCATACAATTCCATTGTATCACGCTGATGCCAATTCTGCTGTTCTTCAGAAGTCACAGAGTGTTTTCTACCCATCAGCGGTAAAAATTTGGTAATTTTAATTAATTAATCATCTAATCATCTATCGCATCGGTCTCTAATTATAGCAGGTAATACTTATCTTCGAACTCCCCGGCCCAGCCGGCGGTCGTTCTAACTTTATTTTAAATAATAATGACCCGCACCGATAATAGACCGTCATCGAGCAGTTCTCACACTACCAATAATCATACGAACACAATAAAACCAAATCTGTCTAATAATAATTCGAATCGTATACAGAACGTTTCAACTTTATCAAATACTTCAAATGATGTCTTTACGGACGATGATCTTAATGACCCAGATTTTAAATTAGTCACAAATAAATCAAATACTAATCTTTCTTCTACCAGCTTAACCGGAACATCCGACAAAGAAAACAAAACCCGTCTTTGTCAGTTCAAATAAATTTAACCCTCTCCAAGTACCGGATAATGCTAATGATAATGAAAACACTATGGAAACGAATAATGACTTCCATTCAAACCACATTCCGTTACCTCCACCAATATTTGTACGAAACGTTTCTAATTTCATTGAATTAAGAAATCAATTAATAAAGTTGATTGGTCCACAAACCTTCAGCTTTAAGTTATCAGCCAATAACCTAAAAATTAACACTACCAACCCTGACTCGTATAAAGGAAGCATAAAATACCTGAAAACAGGTAATGCCGAATATCACACCTATCAAGCTCGTGAAAATAAATCTTTTCGTATTGTCATCCGTAACTTGCATCCGTCTTCTTCAACTTCCGAAGTAGGTGCTGCCATTGAAGATATCGGATATCTGTCCGCCAAGTTTCTAATTTTATCCAAAAATCTACAAAATGCCCCCTCCCAATATTTTTTGTTGACCTTGACCCGCTCAAATCAACAATGATATTTTCAAATTGACCTCACTGCTTCATACCAAAATAAAGGTAGAAGGCAACATAAAAGACGTGAAATCATTCAATGTTCTAAGTGTCAAGAATATGGCCACTCGAAAGGATACTGTGCTCATCCTCCTAGATGTGTTCGTTGTGCTGATTTCCATCCCACTACACAGTGTACACAATCAAAAGATACTCCTCCAACCTGGACCTTACATACCTTTCAATACCCATTCGGATACATATTATGAGCACTGTGAGGTTGTTGAAAATATTATAGTTAATCACTCTTTTGATAATATTCTTATAATCGGTGATTTTAACCTACCTAGCTTTTCGCTCATTAATAACAATTTAATTAATAATACATCAACAAATATCATAATTAATTCTTATATAAACTATTTAGGTTTAAGTCAGTTTAATAATATTCCTAATTACCGTAATGATAATATCCTGGATCTGTTTTTTTCTGAAACTCACTTAGATACTATATTTCCCGGTTGTTCACTCACTCCACTAGTAGATTCTTATCATCCTCCCCTAGAATTCCTTTATTCACTCAATTTACCTAACTTACTAAATGACCAATCAAATTCCGTTGTTTTTAATTTTAATGCATGCAATTTTAATGAAATTACTCGATTCTTTGCCAATATTGATATGATCCCAAATTTTATTAATT